CACGTTCAGGGTACAAACCACATTTTCGGCGCCTGCGGCGGGCATCCTTTGCATTCGTTCCCTGTGGAGAACCCGCGGCCCACCCGCGACCCAAACCTCGTTCCGTGTACGAACCAATTTTTTTGGCGCTTGCGGCGGGCTGCTTTTGCATTCCTTCCAGGTGGAGGTGGAGAGCCCGCGACCCACCCGCGACCTAAACCACGTTCACTGAACAAACCAATGCCGCACAAGCGCGGCGGCGGATTCTTGCATGCCGTCTGAGCCCGCAAGGACCTCTTCACGCCCCGCACATCCACGCCAGCCCGTCCAGCAACTTTGCCCTGGCGAGTTGCCTTGATCAGAGAAGGCGGGGAGCATAAAGTGGAAAAAAGGATTGCGTTGCAGTTATCTTGGGAAAGGAGGGGGAGGCAGGATGAGTAAACAGGGGACGAGGAGAACGTGGAAGAAGAGAGGATGTAAGGAGAACGTGGAGAAAGAAAAGGAGGAGGAGCAGGAGGACGAGGGGGAGGAGGGGGAGGAGGGGGAGAAGGAGGACGAGGAGGGGGAGGATGGGGAGGATGATGATGATGGACGACAATGGGAGGACGATGATGGAGGCCGATGAGGGGGAGGACGACAATGGGAGGACCATGATGAAAAGACGAGGGGGGGAGAGGGAGGACGAGAAGAAGAAGAGGAGGAGGAGGAGGAGGACGAGGTGGAGGAGGAGGATGACGATGACGATGAGGACGAGGAAGAGGAGGAGGAGAAGGAGGAGGAAGAGGAGGAGAGGAGGAGGAGGAGGTGGAGGAGAGCGCCATCGACAAGGAAGGTGGGGGCCACGAGGTCCGCCGGCTCGACGACGCCCGCGTCGCCCGCGCCCGCCCCCTCACTCTTATCCGCAATTGCGGGGTGCTACGTACGACAAATCTGAAGTGATAGTAGGAGGAGCGACGAGGACGAGGAAGAAGGAGGAGGAGAAGGAGGAGGGGGAGGAGGACAAGGAAAAGTGAGAAGGAGGAGAAGGAGGAGGAGGAAGAGGAGGAGGAGGAGAAGAAGGAGGAGGAGGAGAGAAGGAGGAGGATGAGACAGAAGGGAGACAGAGGAGGATGAGGAGGATGAGGAGGATGAGGAGGGGGAGGAGGAGGAGGAGAGGGAGGGGGAGAAGGAGGAGGGAGGAGGAGGAGGAGGAAGAGGAGGAGGAGGAGGAGGAGGAGGAATAGGGGGAGGAGGAGGAGGAGGAGGAGAAGAAGGAGGAAGATCAGGAGGAGGAGGGGGAGGAGGAGGAGGGGGAGGAGGAAGAAGAGGAGGAGGAGTGACGAGTGAGGAGTGAGGACGCCAGAGAAAAGGAGGAGGAGGAAGAAAAGAAGGAGGAGGAGGAGGTGGAGGAAGAGGGGTAGTGAGGAGGAGTAGGAGGAGGATAACTGAGAGAAGGACTGAGGAGCGCCAATAACTTCCCTGGGTTCGATGTCATGGAGCTCAACGCTTAGGCCTCGACCAACTGCATGGCTGGGAAGCGCTTAACGGATGAGGATTACTCATGTCGTACTTAGGCATTTTAGCGAAGCCGCTTTGAGGGTCTCAAACCGCTGGGGAACTTCTAGAGTGCGTCCATCCTGCCTTCCTGCCTTTTCCATTGCTATGTGGCAAATGTAGGAAGGAGCAAGGGCGGTGGCAAGGCAGGCGCTTCACGACTGAGACCCCCAGCAAGGCATTGCACTGAGGCCAAGACCGAGACGGAGGAGGGGACATGGAGGGACAACGGCTCGAGGCAGACAGACGAGGCGGGCGAGGCGAGGGCAACGGAGGTACTGCGTAATGCAGTCCGGTCGGAAGTGTCAGCCGAAAGCACACACCCTGAGCTCATTTTTTTCTTCTCCCCCACCACCTCCAAGAACTGGGCGCCCGCTCCTCACCCAGACCTGCGCCCGTAAACGAGCCGCAATGCCCAGGCGCGGATCCCCCAGTCCACGCGCGGCGCGCCAGCTGCGGCCAGCGCCGCCGCGGCCTCGGGGGCAGCGGCCGCGCCCCCGGCGCTCCCAATCGCCGCCGCTGCGGCGTCGTCAGGGCTGGCTGCGTCAGCGCCAGCAGCCGGCTCCGCCTCGAGCCCCGCCTCCGCCGCCATGGCCGTCCGCGCCGCCCAGCGCCGCGCCGGCGAGCATCGCTGCGTCGCCCCCAGCACCGCTGGCCGTGCTGTCCAGCTCCACGAACGCGGCCAGCAGGTCGGCGTCGCCGACGAACGCGCCCGCGCCCGGCCTGGTCACCACCCCAGCCTCGCCGCCGGCCTCCCCCGCGCGGGGGAGCCCAGCCAACCCGTCCAGCCCCGCCAAAGCTGCCGCGACGCTAGGGGCGCCGCCCTCCTCCTCCTCCTCCTCTTACTCCTCCTCCTCCTCCTCCTCCTCCTCCTCCTCCTCCTCCTTCTTCTTCCTCCTCCTCCTCCTCCTCCTCCTCCCTTTCCTCCGGCCCAGCGCTGCCCCCAACCACGGGCGCGCCTGGAGGCCACGGCGCTGGCGGGGTCGGCCTCCCGGGCAGCGCCGTCGTCGTCGTCGTCGTCGTCGTCGTCGTCGTCGTCGTCGTCGTCGTCGTCGTCTTCGTCGTCGTCGTCGTCGTCGTCGTCGTCCGCCCCCTGGAGGGGGAGGGTCGTCGCCCGTCTCCGGGAGGAGGAGAAGGAGGAGGAGGAGGAGGAGGAGGGAGAAGGAGGGACGAGGGAGAAGCAGGGAGAAGGAAGATGAGGATGAGGAGGAGGAGGAGGCGGAGGAGGAGGCGGAGGATGCGAAAGAGGAAGAAGAGGAGGAGGGGGGAGGACAAGCTAGGTGCGCTCGCGTCATATCTGACATCCTACCCCTCCCTCCCATCCCCTACCATGGCGTAGATCCCCTCTCTACTCGCACAGTCGGATGTCGAGCAGGGCAATGATCCCGAAAGGGTACGTGATGCATTGTAGAGCACGGCATGGCATGGCGTAGAAGAGCACCGCAAAGCGTAGTATGTCACAGCGTGGCGTGGCGTGGCGTAGTGAAGAATTGCATCACAAAGCTTTGCAACGCAAAGCATGGCATCGCACAGCGGCCCCGAACATAACATTGCATAGCATGGCGTTGAAGATCAAAGCGTAGCATGGCATAGCACGACGTGGCACTTAAGCACTGCATATCACAGCTTCAGCTGAAGGCATGGCATCGCGCAGCGGAACGCAACCTAGCATTGCATTGCATGCCGTGGCATGGCACGGGAAATGACGCCAGCGCTGCAGCGGGAGCACGATTCGGAACGAGCGGAAGCGCGGAAATGAGGCCAGCGCTGCAGTGGGAGCACGATTCGGAACGAGCGGAAGCACGGAAATGAGGCCAGAGCTGCAGCGGGAGCACGATTCGGAACGAGCGGGGCCCGAAAATGAGGCCAGCGCCTCAGCGAGAGCAGCATTTTGAAAAAAATGCTGGCGAAAACCCAACTCCGGGGAATCCTGTGTGTAAAAAAACAGTACGCGGAGGGGGGGCAACACTCCCAACCCGTCATCAGGGGAAGGAGGAGAGTAGTATTCATATTGAGTAATTGTGGAGGGCAGAAGGGAGAGGGGGAGAAAGGGAGGAGGCGAGGGAGGGGGAGGGGAGGAGGAGAGATGATGAGATCCCCATCCTCTTCGTCCCCTCTGACGTGCCTGTCCATCTCCCGCTGCTCAAGCGCTACTCCTGTTCCGGCTCCTGCTCCAGCTCTTGCTGCTCCTGCCCCTGCTGCTGCTGCTACTGCTGCTGCTGCTGCTGAGTTCGTTCCCTGTCTTCCTTCCTCGTCTGCGTCTCCATCCTCTCCTCCCTCTTTCTCTCTCTTTCCTTACGTCCTCCTTTTCGTCGTCGTCCTCGTCTTCGTCCTCGCCGTCGTCCTCCCCCTCCTCCTCCTCCGCCTCCTCTTCCTCCTCCTCCTCCTCCTCCTCCTCCTCCTCCTCTTCTCCTCCTCCCTCTCTCCTCCCCCCTCTCCAGTCTCGGCTCGAGAGAGCGTTGCTCAGAGCGAGCCCGGACGCCAAACGCCCCGCATCCTTTCCCGCCTCGCGAGGCCGGACACGATCCAGGGCGTGATATTGGCGCGCGCCGCAACGGTTCCAGAGCGCCCTCGCCGTGCGCTTCGCATGCCCCCGCAGCCCGAGCCAATAGTCAAGGGCCGCTCGAAGGCAACCGCAACGAATCGGCAGGACACCAACCTCAGCCGAAGGGAAGCCTGCGTCGCCGCACTCGCGAGCAGTGGTGTTCGTCGACCGAGCAGCCGCTGCCTGTACCGACGTGGCTCGCAAGCACCAAGACAACCTCGACAACATCTACCGACAACACCGCTCCGACCAGGCGTAGGTTTAGGGGCGAGCTGATGAAACGATGCGAGCAGAAAATCAGCTACACCAGGCTGCACCGCTTTCAAGAGCACAAGACTGGTACCAGACGTCGCTCGGACCAGGCGTGGGTTCAGGGGCTAGCTGATGAGACGATGCGCGAAGCAAATCAGCTGCACCAGGCTGCACCGCTCTCGAATGCACAAGCCGGGCACCAGACGTGACTCCGCAGGGGCCGACGGCCTCGGCCGAGGCCCGCCAGGGCCTCTCTCTCTCTCTCTCTCTCAGCAGTGACGCATCAAACTGGGACGTCCCGAACGCGCCTGCGCCTCACAGGGCCGACCACGTGACTTCACGCACCAGCAGCATCCGCCGACACCCAACCAGGGCCAAAACACCGACCGAGGATCCTTGGGGCTCCGCGCTCATCTTCCCCGCTGTCGTCTCGGAAGGGGTAGCCGCCACCGAAGGACCCTGGGCCAGACCGCTGCAGCCACCGCCGAGTCCTGCGGGTACAACCACCAGGGTGGAGCCCAGCGCGAACCCAGGCGAGGCCACAGAGACACCCGCGGCGCGGCAGCTCGCTGGGCCCACCAGGACCGAAGCCCTGGTCGTCCAACCCCACAGGACCAGTTCCGGAACCCGATGCTCCGCGCATCCAGGAGGGCACCGAGGCAACGGTCACGAGCCAGGTTAAAAAACCCATGAACGGCCAACATAGCGTCGTCCCTGGACGCACGGGGGACCAGAACCAGTCCTGGATGGCTCAACTGACCAGGGGCAACACCGCCGCCCTGATAGCGTCCAGTTTGATTCCTCGCTCCCATCATCAGTCGGAGGGCGGCTGACACTGCCTGAACGTCGGGGCCCAGGCCAGCTAAGACGTAAGACTCGCCGATGGCGGGAGATACGGCGGAGACACCAGTCCCGCCTGCGCGCACGCAGAGACCGGTGCCAGGGCCTGAGCGTAAACCTCCGATGCCAGCAGGAGCGCCAGCGACTGCAGCACCGACAGGGCCCACGGACTTCTTGAAGCTCAGCCCGCGGCAGCGGAAGCGCATTAACAAGCTCCGCAGATACCGCTTCGGACGGCGAGCCACCGACGGGTCACACCTTCCCGCAATGTCGGAGGACGATGCCGCGGACGCCCCGCGCGAGCTCATCAGCACGAACCCCTCACGAGCCCGTGACTGTGAGAGCGGCTGGGAGAGAGGCGGGCGACGCTCCGCACAGTGAGGGCGACGATCGTGCGGACGGGACTCGCCTATACCTCGACCTCAACTCTCCCCCTCTGCGCAACTGCGGCAGGGGGGCCGGGATCGCTACTCCGAGTTTCTAGATTAGCGTCGGGGGGGCGTCACCACCGCCGACAGCCCCACATCGACCCGCGTCGCGGGCAGCCAACTCGCGCAGAAGGCGCTCCGACCCACGTCGCGGCGCGACGGCGAGGCGAGGTTGACCCCCGTCGGGGGGGTACCCCGTGAAAAAAAAGTGAACGCCCCAGGGATCCGTTCCCGTTCCCGTTCCCGTTCCCGTTCCCGCTCCCGCTCCCGTTCCCGTTCCCGTCGTCGTCGTCGTCGTCGTCGTCATCGTCGTCGTCGTCGTCGTCGTCGTCATCGTCGTCGTCGTCGTCGTCGTCGTCGTCCCGTCGTGGTCGTCGTGGTCGTGGTCGTCGTCGTCGTCGTCGTCGTCGTCGTGGTCGTCGTCGTCGTCGTGGTCGTGGTCTCCGTCCGCCCTGAAGGGGGGTCAAGAGGGAGGCTCCAGAAAGGCCGCGGACGCTTGGAGGCTTGTTGGGCTCTCCTGAGAGGCCTCTCGGGGGCCTCTTGGAAGCATGTTGCAGGTCTCTTGGGGCCCGTAGGGGTCTTCTTGGGGACGTCAAGGCGGAGGACTTGGGAGTCTCCTGGGAGTTCGTTGGCGGTCTCGGAAGGTCTCTGTCAGACGCCTACGGCGAATCACCGCCGCCCCTTGCCTTTTGGAAACGCCGACGCGGCCAAGCGTTACGGCGAAGTTTGGCCCAGGTGTTGGACCAGGTGTTCCCCCAGCCGTTGTTGAAACCCTTGGGGAAAACACTTGGGTGAGGAAGATGGGGGAGGAGCAGGATAGAGGGGGATGATGGTGATGATAACGAAGAGGCACATGAGATGCTAAGGAGGGGGGGAGGAGGCCTCTTGCAGGCATTTTGGGGCTTCCTGCGGGCTTTCGGAAGCCACTTGGGGCCATCTGGACTCCTTTTCGGGCAATCTTGGCCGTCTTGGAGGGCATCTTCGGTCGCCTCGGGGGCCATGCAGGGCCGTCCTGGCAGACTTCGACGGCATGCTGGCCGTCCTGGAAGCCACACTGGACCATCTTAGCATGCTTGAATGCAATCTCTTACGTGTCTTAGGCCATCTTGGAGGCAATCTTATCCGTCCAGGAGGCCATCTTGGCCGTCGTGGAGGCCATCCCCAGCGTAGCCCACCCAGCCATGGTTCTGTTAATGCACTCGTACATATCCAGCTGCCTGCGGCAATTCCCGCCACCGTGATGATGATGATGATGCTGATGATAATGATGATGATGCTGACGATGAGGATCATGAGGATGAGGACGCTGATGGCGACGATGATTCTGATGACGGCGATGATGATGACGATGACGATGATGACGATAACGATGACGAGGATGATGATGTTGATGTTGATGACGGTGATGATGCTGATGATGCTGATGACGATGTTGATCATGATGATGATGGTGATGATGGTGACGATTACGACGATGATGATGATGACAATGATGATGATGATGACGATGATGATGGTGATGATGATGATGATGGTGGTGGTGGTGATGATGACGACGATTATGATGATGATGATGATGATGATGGTCGGGACATCGCGGGAGGCCTTTCGGGGGCCTGTTGGAGGCAGTTTTGAAGCCTCCTCCATGCCGTCTGGGGACCTCTTGGGAGCCGCTTGGGGCTTCTGGGGGCTTCTCGGGGGCCTCTTGGGGAGCACTTGGGAGCCTCTTGGGGCTTCTTGGAGGCCTCTTGGGGCCTCCTGGAGGACCCCCACCAGACAGCACTTGGCATTCTAGCACGCCTCAAAGTGCCAGGCGGCACGGTGGCGGATACAGCCCAGGGACACCAGACCATTCCGTAGCCATTGTGGCTCAGGTTTTGACTGCGCAGTCCTTTTATTCGATCATATACTTGCAAATGGTAA